CTCCCTCTCCCACTCCCCCTGCTTGTGTTCGTGCTCTCGCTATCTCTCTCTCTGTCAAATAAATAAATAAAATCTTTAAAAAAAAAAAAAAAGATTCTCTCTCTCCCTCCGCCACTCCCCCGGGTCCCTCTCTTAAGAAAAATTTAAAAATACACTGCACAGATTATTTATATTCCTATCACTCCTACTTTTGTTCTTTTATTCCCACATCACTTTTCACTTAAAGAAATGTTGAGATTTTAATTCTTTTATCTCCTCCCTATCACCAAACTTCCAAATACACATAGGTACTCTTTCTTACTTTTTTAATTTTTTTTTTTAAGATTTTATTTATTTGACAGAGAGAGATGCAGCGAGAGAGGGAACACAAGCAGGGGGAGTGGCAGAGGGAGAAGCAGGCTTCCCGCTGAGCAGGGAGCCCAATGTGGGGCTCAATCCCAGAACCCTGGGATCATGACCTGAGCCAAAGGCAGACGCTTAATGACTAAGCCCCCCAGGCGCCCCACCTCTCTTATATCTTAACCAGTTTCTTCATCTGTAAGGGGTAGACCTGATAAGTTCTGAAGTACCAAATCTATTATGAATCCAAGGGATCTTCCTAATAGAGAAATAATATTTTAATATGAAGACCAGGCTTTCTGAAATTAAATGTACTTATATAATGAAAAATGCAGGGAAAAACTCCTTAACTAACCAACTTAGTTTTATTGGAAAATAGTGGTATCCTAAACCAGATTTCTAACAAAAAAACCAAAGAGTCATCTGATCATTATGAACCAAAATCTCCAGAAACCTTGCTGGAAGAAGTTAATGAAGAGAGAGTATCAGTGGCATTGAAAAAAACCTCTGAAATCCTTCAGGATATTGACTGTCTTCTATCAAGTTCTAAAAAGTGAAAAATGGAATTATTATAAACCTTAAGGATGTTGTTTCAACTGACTAGTATAAAATTACTAGTAAGCCAAGAAATTATATATATTACTTCTGTGCAATGATTATATAAAAAATGACATTTAACTTTGGAGGTTACCTAACTTGTAAATTTTAAACTATATGTTTATAATGTATTTTATTAATAAAGAACTGTTTTAGGATTTTGAACAATTATTTCAGATTTATGAGAAAAACTTATAAAATTATAGTTGCTGTTTTAGCTTGTGGAGCATTCACTATTAATCCTCAAGTTTTTTTTTTTTTTTTTCTTCTTAAATATGCAGAATTGTGTGTATTTGGTCATTTGCTTTTTGGTCTCCAAATATTTTTCAACAGAACTACCAAAAGAGAATTAGATCTTTATATATATATATATATATATACG